ATATAAAGTGTTATTTTGCTACCATTTTGGTATTGATGGTAATATATTATGGTATCAAAAACTCCTAGTATGTAAATTACACATTTCAAAAACATTTAAAGAGCTGATATACATCATTTAGGATATTCACATAGAGTAAAAGTATCAATTCACAGTACGATAATAAAAGAAATTGCAAATTATTTCACAGCTTCCTCCTCGGACTGATACACTATCAAATTACAGTATTTCAGTGCTATTTTCTTTCCTAGTACTTATGTTGCACACCTTTTTTTTTTCCTTTTTTTTTTGCACATTTCAATCTAGCAAATGATATATGTACATTTATACAACCTAAATGCAACATATGATACAAGATTTATATATAAAAATTTGGAATAATGATAATAAAAAAGGCTATGCATTATTTTTGGATATGCATCACCACAGACATGCAATTCATATGCAATTTAAAAAATAATATTCCAGTATACAATATTGATAAGCTTTAAGATCTAAAGAATTAAGGCCTCACTTCCAAATACTATGTTGTCAATCATGCATAATAATAGTTACATTTGTTCATGTTATAACACTACCGACACATATATAATAATGAGTAATGAAAAATCCATGTCATATCAAATTAATCCTAGCTCTCCAGTTGTACTGATGCACTAATACATCTCATATACAATAAAGTAAAGGTTGCATGTTTTTTAAATGTTAATGTTAATGTTAATAATACAACTATTCTAATATGTCCTCCTCACTTATGAGTCTGACAATATCTATAATCAAATCACCTTCATCAAATGTATTTCAGTGTACGTTAAAAAATAGCCAAAGATGGGAGGGGGGGGGGGGGGGGGGGGGACTTTTTGCAAAAGAAAGTGATTCTTGAGGCTACTTCTTCAAACTTGAGGAATGATACATGTCCTATAATGTACAATGCTGTTGCAGACAACTGATGCATTTACCAAAGAAAAAAAAAATCTATCCCAATTTGAACTCATTAATTCTTTGATTGAGAATAACTTTACATAACACCTTAAACAGCCATCCGAAACATATTATCATTTCGAATCTGTGGGGGAACTAAAGCCTACTTTAGACCCTACATTATGCTCTGATTAAAGACATAAAAGAAACTCTCTCTTCTAATACTGGTTATTGTCTTCTATTCCGACTCAAATCTCTTTCAGTTTTGATAAGTGTATATTCCCCTGCAGATGAAACTTTCAAAATATGCATGAATATATACTTCTAAGGGAATTTCATTGGACTTCCTGTGTGCATAAGTGTTCAAATTATAATTCAATGGAAAAATATTCAATTACACGAAACTGAGTTTTAAGATTGTCTTGCATATATAACAATGAATTGAAAAATTTCAGTTTCTGCGGTTACATTTACAGGTGGAAGGGTTTAAGAAAAAATAAGAAAAAATCAGTACATCCATTCATTATTGCCATGATATGTTATCACCAGATTGTCGTCATGAATTGTCTATGCACACATGAAGGCTTTCCAGTTACAGATTACCTCTAACCCGGGCATTTTAACACAAACCTTGTTGAATCCAATGACACTGATGACAACACGTCTCATTTATGCTCTTCTTTATTAATCTTCTTTCCTCTCTGGTGTTTGCTGTGATGGTGGTGGTCGTGATGTCACTCACCTCACCTAGAGAGTGGCTGACACTGCTGACAATTGTCCATCAGTTGAGGTTGGTAAAGCTCTACTTGGATGGTTGTGTGGTAGATGTGATGGCGGGTGCGAATAACCCTCTGGGCAGCCTGAAGCACTGTCTCTGGATCTGTGTCTCCACCTACAAGGAAATGGGGTTCTGATTATGTGGGGGTTTGTATGTTACTCAAAGTTTTAGTAGTGTTTAATGACAAAACTGTTGTAAAAGAAAGAACAAAGAAAAGGAGAAAAGAAAATGAGAAAGGATAAAAAAGAATCAATTAATAAATCACAGGAGCTGACACTAATGTGGGCGCATAGCCACATCCACTCTTCATTTCCAGCCATATGGGTCTCTCATGGTGAGCTGTCAGGCAGGTCTTTAGCCCATCTCTAATTCCTCATGACAGGTCTAGCCAAACTGCCTAAGCCAATACTTCCCAAGACTTATGGGCAGGGTCATCCACAGGGAAATGAGCCAGGTGCATATAAAGCCTGATTTGGCATTCCTGGATTGCACAAGTAACAAGTCTTATGTGGTCTCATCGTAACCGGGCGAGACAGGCAGTACTTGCAACAAGTGTGGCCATCTATAAGGAAAAACAATTAAACAAGTAAACACACAGTGAGCATGTCACAGATACAGGTAGTCCCCTACTTAAGAACATTCTACTTTCATACATACGAACAATTTTTTTTAAATACTAAAGTCCAAAAAATTGTTTGAAAGATGCTAGCAAACTTCAAATGTCCTGGGCGCGAATATAGTTCAAGCCGTGGCGCTGCCGCGCTCACTCAGCTGTACACATCACTCACCTCAGTCACCTGCCATCACCACTACAATATATTTTCCTTTTGAATAATCTATGTTTCTACATTCAAGTTGTATGAATCACCATCAAATAATATTAAAAGCATTACATATTACAGGTATTGGGATTTATTTACAGGTATTCTTAATGTAAACAAAACTTTAAAAGAATGGGAAAAAAGGTAATGGAGACCTGACTTACGACATACAAACAAATCGACTTACAAACAGCCTCTTGGTCCCCATTATGTTCTTAAGTTGGGGACTTACTGTACATGACACCTGAGGCGAATGGGGTAAACGTATCAAGAGCCGTCACTAGAGTTTCCAGACTCAGATTGGACAACAACACTGTCAGCAAAGTGAGGGTCTGTGACCTTGATATTGCCAATTGTTACTTCACAGCTGCTTTGGATAGTAGCTCTTCCCATTAGCCAGTCCTTGCAAGTGTTGAAAAATGCTGGTATTAGAACACAGCCTTCCTTCATTCCTGATGAATTAATTGGGAGAAGCTAGACAGGCCCCCACTACAATTTATAGCGTTTTCATACCATAACATCTCAGTCGTGCTTCGGTGCTCAGTTTTGGTCTCTGATATACAGTTTGAATTTACAAACCAGAAAATCTACATCTTTTGCTGGTATGTCACACAGTTAAAAAAAAAAAGGATAAAAGGATAAAAAGATGGTGAGAAAGAGACAGAAAGAAAGAAATATAAACATTCAGTCACATAATAAAAAGACAGTAACAATGCCAAGAGCTACACGCCATATTTACTCCCTCAAACTCCTTCCTACCCACTGACAGCAAAAACAATATGGGGAGAACAACCTACCACTTTTTGTGAGCCACCTCAGATTAAACATGAAAATCACAAGTACACTAATTTGGTTGCTTTTTTTTTTCTATTAAGATTGAAATACCTAAAACAATACATATAAATAATCATAATAATAACTACAAAATAAGATAAATAAATAATATACTCACTAATAGCTATATGCACTGCACACGCATTCTTATCAAGGGTCAGAGCCCACACATTGAGGGAGTGAACCATCTTCACACCAGGAAGGGCTGTGAGGTTCGCTGACACTGATGCGTAGTCAACCCCCTGTGGCGTGCCCTCCATCAGGACATGAGTTAGGTCCTTCAGGATGGGGAGAGTTGTGATGATCACCAGGACGGAGAAGATGAAGGTGCATATGGGGTCAGCAATCTTGTACTGTGGCTGTTTGGGGTAAAAAAAAACAAAAAACATCAAACCATAGCTTTGCAAATTCCTATAATTTCTACTAATGTATACAGCAACAAATACAAAGAAACAATATACTCCTGAACAAACTACAAAAATGTACAACTTAAATGATTGCAAAAAACAGTTATCCTGGTACTTACATAATATCTAATAACGTATGCAGCTATCAACACGCCTATACTCTGAATCAGATCTCCCAAAACGTGAATAAAAGCTGCTCTGACGTTGATGTTGCTAGATTGTTGTTCGTTTCCTTGGGCTCTGCTGGGTCTGTGGCCATGACTGTGACCATGGCCACCAAGACCTCCGTGACTATGGCCATGTCCCCCCTGGCCCATGTGGAGGACCACACCGAGGCTGAGAGAAAAAGGCGGCAATCAAGATATGTGAAGATGTGAAAAGGATACGTGAATGTGCATTATTACGATTATCAATTACAAATCTCTCTTTCCACTAATGCAGGATGACTGGAGAAGAAGAATAACAAAAATCAGTCATTATTTAGATCACGTATGAATGCTATTTTCCCTCCGTCTTCACTTCAATACCTGCTGTTTTTCTGTAAGTCATATTTCACATGAACGTGATCTGGTTACTATTATACTATGGTGGGAACTTACATGATGTTAATGACGACACCCAGAGCCGAGACAATGATCATAGTATCTGCCTCGACTTCGAAATCCATTGAGATGACTCTCTGGACTGCTGCAAACACCAGGATACCAGTAATGACCCAGATAATGAGGACACTCACCACTGCACCCAACACCTCTGTGGAATAAAAAGATAGCAAAGGATGGGAACAATACGGAAATATAAATATAAAATCTTTTTACTCTCTGTCACTGTGATCGTGCCTAGAGTCACCTCTTAATATCTGCTTGCTTTCCATTCATGAACTTGATTATTTGCAAGTTTTGGCCAAATTATATATTGATGTGTGTGAGAATCAAAAGACATCAGTAAAGAAGAAGAAGAAGAAGAAGAAAAGGAAAGAAAAGGAAAGAAAAGAATAGAAAAAAGTAAAGGAAAAGAAAAAGAAAAATCAAGAAAATGGCAAAGAAAGTCAAAAGCTGATGAAAACATTTTACAATGCCCTTGCTTGCAGTATTTTGTTCTATTGCAACTTTTTTATGACTCGCTTTTTTATGGTATAAGTGAATAAAAATAACAGTATCTTTCAACTAAGATTTGGTGTGTCAGTGAACAATTCACAGGATTTTGAATGCTCAAATGCCACCCTCGTCCTCCCCCTCCTCTACTACCCAGACAGTATCAATTGTTGAGGCTTTTGGCCGTCCATGCTTTGAAATTTTTGCTCCCCTTACTAGACATCAACCTTAAAGATTGCTTCCAGAAGGATTTAGGCGACTTACACAGCAAGAAGAAATAAGGGCACAAGTGTATTTAACTTCCTATAAAATGGAAACCATGTGGGAGGTTGGGGATATAACCTATTTTATTTTTAAAGTCATTTAGGGGATAATTGTCTTGGTTTATGTTATTTCATATTGCAGTATAAATTTCGGTGCACAACTCTACTGTAAGCCGAGGACTGCTTATGCAAATACTTAATAACAAATATACATGTAAAATTAAAATCTCATGCAACAATAAACAGATAGAACTGAATAACTGTTAGGGGAAACCACATTCAGTTTTATGTATTGGCCTCCTTGCTTCATTCACTATCACCATCATTTCTTATTCTGACCCCATTCTTATGATCGTCCTTATTTCTTTATCTCTCTCTTTCTTTAATTTCTTTCATGTAATTCCCATTTCTTTGTACCTCTTTTTATCAACCTTTATCCTCCCTTTCCATTTCTTTTCCCTTCTCTTCCCTCTGAGTGACATTACTGTGGAACCCTTCTTATCCCTTACTTCTATTTTCATTTCTTTTCCTCTTCTTCGCCTTTCCTTCATTCCCTTTTCCTCTTCTTTCCCTTTCCTTCATTCCCTTTTTCTCTTCTTCCCCTTTCCTTCAATTCCCTTTTCCCACACCCCCTGGTACCCTCTCCTTACCCACTCACCTGCTCTGTAGTACCCGAAACTCATATTTTTTGAGGCTGGCTGACGAGAAAGGTAGATGGCGGCAAGTGAGACGATGAAAGACGTAAGGTCGCTGAAGAGATGGGCTGCGTCCGACATGATGGCTATGCTGCTGGCCAGGTAACCCCCCACAGCCTCGGCAATCTGTAGAAGAGGAATGGTTTGGGTGTAGGAGGGAGGAAGAAGGAGGTGGAAAGGGAGGAGTTTGAACCTTAGCACACTTTTAATGGTGTAAATAAGGACCTCTGAAAATGGAAAACTGGGTTTATGGTAAACTTCTGTGCAGAAATTTCAACTAAACATGGAGCTGATGTGTAATCCAAGAAATCTTGACATAGATGAGTTTCATGCAACTTTCATAAACCCAAAAAGAAGGAATATGTCAGTCACAGACCATGATAAACTGAAAAAATTAAAAACAAGATGATTTTAAAGTAATGTACAAGCTAACATGGACACTATGCTACAAATTCAGTTTAATGCAACCTTTATGTAACTGAAAAGATAGAATATCTAAACCAAAGAAAATGATAACCCAAAGACTCAAAAATTAAGAATCTCCATATTTCTTATCTATGGTGTCTTTCCCACTCATTCTATATAGCACTGTATAAACTAATATGGAAAACATATACAACATATAACTGAAAAGAAGAAATATATAAATTGAGAAAGATATAAACTGAACAACAAGATATATTTCTCTAATAGGTAACTAGATGGACAGCAAATAGTGGTGCGAAATTACTCGTCACAAAAGGGGGAAGGTTATTTTCTGAAATAATGCCTGTGTGGGACAGCTTTAACTGAAAAACATTTTGGGGTCATCATTTTGACCACAACAGTAATGATAAGGATAGCAAGTTTTTAATAATAAACATGACAGGAACATGCTTAATGACTATCATAATAAAATTTAATACTGATTACAATAATGTTCAGAATATAGTTAAAGAAGCCCACTAAACAGGAATGTTTTTGGAATTCCTTAGCTGCCTTTCCCTTAACAGACATTCTGGAATATCTGCCTGCCTTTTAAGAGTAAAAAAAAAAAAAAAAAAAAAATTATAATAATAATTGACTAAATTATATTTTGCTCTATGTAGCTGCAAAGGTATTATTTATCACCATCTAAACAAGTAAAGTTCTTACCATAAATACTGTAGTCAAGCAGCATGCTAACAGGAGCTGCGTCATGGCACGTCCAGAGGCTCGCTGACTAGCTCGGGGCATGTGGCAGTGATCGGCTGATGCTGCCGTCGTTGGCCCCAAGCCTGCATGGCCGTTCTCGGCTCCATCTTCATCCTGGGGGACAAAGGAGAAAACATGTACTTAGTATACCATTTACATGCTTCAAATAACTTTTGAACTTGATTCCCTTGGCTGGCAGATGGTTGAAAACTTGTGTTAGACTAAAGAGAGGAGGAGCAGTATTCTAAAACAGATCCAATATATTTACATAAACAAGAATTATGAAGGTCAGCTAAAAATAGAAGAGAGAAGAAGAAGAACAAGAAGGGAGAAGAAGAAGAGAGAAGAAGAAGAGAGAAGAAGAAGAGAGAAGAAGAGAGAAGAAGAGAGAAGAAGAGAGGAGAAGAAGAGAAGAGAAGAAGAAGAAGAAGTGAAGAAGTGAAGAAGAAAAGAAGAAGTGAAGAAGAAGAGAGAAAAAGAAGAGAGAAGAAGAAGTGAAGAAGACAAAAGAAGAAGAAGAAAGAAGAAGAAGTGAAGAAGAAAAGAAGAAGAAGAAAGAAGAAGTGAAGAAGAAAAGAAGAAGAAAGAAGTGAAGAAGAAAAGAAGAAGAAGAGAGAAGAAGTAGTAAAAGAAGTAGAAGAAGACGAAGAAGACGACCTCAGTATAAACGCTATATAAAAAAAAGGAAATACGAGATATCAGTAAGTTTGCAAGAAGTACAGTAAATAAGTGCCATATTCTAATAATAGCATGAAAAAGCAGTCTCAGTTCTAGATATAAAATTTTTGGTAAATATAAAGCAAAGGTGTTTCCCGCAAGTGGTATGAGAAAAGGTTACTGTGTGATTATCTCTTGCTCTGTTTTCCCTCGGGGGATTCTTGGTCACAGTATGGTAAAAAGCACGAGCATCATCTCAGAATAGTTTAGATTATGGTTTAATAATAGGGAAGCTTGAAATAATGCATGCAAAGAGAAGGAATTGTTTTTTGACTTATAACAGGATGCATATTATCCCATGTTTGCCTCTAAATAGAAGGAAGATGGAGGAGGAAGAGAAGGAAGAGGAAGAGGAAGAGGAAGAGGGAGAGGAAGGAGGAGGAGAAGAAAGAAAGAATCGGATTTTGAATGAACGAAACCAAGTCACTTGTACCACAACAAAACCATTTTCAAAGGCTGTCCTTACTAAAATCTCAACTTTGCCACAAGGAAATAGTTGCATTTACCTTATCTTATTTGTCTTTCATCATCCTCTTTGTATGTGTTATAAATAAATTCACTTTACACAACAAATATATACACTTTTAACAGCACTCACCCCTCCCTCCCCCTCACACAGGTCTCGGCAAATTAAATCTCCCAGGTCAACTGTAACATTCCCATATTAAAGCAGGAGGTTACTAATATTCATGATATAAAAAATTCAGAATTCCTAAAACAAAGGCAGTCTTGCAGTCCATAAGATAAGTCTTCTTAACCCCTTGGTGCCGGGTGACGCCGATCGGCGTGTAAACAAAGCGCTCGAAAGCTGGCGTGCAGCCAAACGAGCCAGTGATTCGGGCTGATGTCCCCTACTCACACGCTCAAAGTCGGCGCCTTTGTTTGCTTAAGCGTAGAGTTTTTTTTTTTTTTGTTTTGCACACCCGGCGCCATTGGGTTAATGAATAGTATATCTATCAGTGGAATGTTTTCATTCTGTTTATGAGGTCATATATTTTACTAAGGAGAAATAATAATACAAAATACTTTGGTAAAACAGAAGAATACTTAAAATAACTCAGGTACACTAAAAATTCTCAACTAATAAGAAATTCCACGGATTTCATGAGCAAGCCACTCTGCCTCTTCCACTTCTCTATATTTACCGTGGATCCCGTGGATGAAACGCATCCAAAAGTCCAACATCTCTAGAGAGAGCATTATGAGGAGAGAACGCTAAACAATGGACGAGATGACAAAATACCCATAACCCTCCCCCCCAGAAAAGAAGAAGAAATCACCCTCCCCCCACAAAAGAAAAAAAAAAAAAAAAAAAAACACACACAAACCAATTTTCTCTATAATTCTAATTAACCCATTGGATCTAGGTGCCTCGCTGCCTGTATGCATCCCAAAAGCCTTAGAATTAGGCTTATTCAAGTGGTGACTCTCCTGAGTGTGCGGTTTGTATGGCTAGTCCATATGAACACTCATGTGCAGCATCAAGACTCCCTGCCTCTCCTTTGCAATGTCGTTATCTCTTTCTGCATAATGTTTTTTTTGTCTTTTGTCATTTTCCAAGATTTATATTTGTCATCTGATACTCAAGATAGCAATAGACAGTTGCTGCACCAGCAAAAAAGCAGAAGAAAATCGTATTCAAACTGTATTCATTGACAAATGTGAAAAGATATAAATGAAACCGGTCAAATATATCTCTTGCATTGCAAAGATATCAATTCTCATCCACACCTTTTTTACAGGAATTGTATTTACCAAGAAATATAAACGTTGGAAAATTTTGAGGTTTGATGAAGCAACATCTTTAATTCATGATAACAAAGGAAAGAAAGTGTGTTGGCAACATCGCATTGATCCCATAGGTGAAAAATCCTTTGTAAAGAGCATAAAATATTCACTACTTATTGGTATGGAGATCCTTATCTAAACATGAAATGGCAGACTAAGAACACTACTACCTATTTATAAATGATTATCCTGAAACATAATCCAAAGAATCAGGAACATTCTTCTAGATGCATCTTTATCTACCTTTTTTGTTATAAAACCTTATAAAAAATATCAGGCAGGTTATTTCTCAGAATAACACAACTTTCTAAATTCAGATTTTCCTAACATCTTCCATAAAAAATCATCTAGAGAACTACAGAGCCATTGCTAGCAATTTTTGCCAGTAGTTCCAGAAAATTTGTCATACGTAAGAAAATGCACGTTTTAAAAAGTTACATAAAATTATTCAATTACTTGCATGGAAACAAATGTACCTTTGAAAAACTGAGAATAATCCAAGAACTACCTTAATAATCAAGTCAAATTCCATTTTCAAAAACTGCAAAACTTCTAATACTTTAGCCACATTTGTTCACATAAATCCTCTGTAACAGTTGTTGTAAGTGTCACTTGTTTCTAAAAGGTTATCTACACAATTTGAAAGGTTGACCATTAAAAATAAATGGTTGGCCATATATGTTACATCTCGACATAGCAGGAAGAAAAATGAACATGTTTACTTGACTTAAAATTATGGTGTAAACCAGGAGAACAAAGAAGACCTTGAGGCAAATAACATAAAATGAATTTGAAATGAAATATAAACTTCTGTAAATCTTTTGTAGTATTCAGTGGTCATGTTTTATCAGCGATCACAGGATTAATGTTTCGAAATGAAATTAATTAATTAGTAAGAAAGAGAAATGAAGAATATCAAACCTAAACAAATCAAGAAGTGGGTAACCTTGAAAGACTTCCTGTGTCTGAATGTCAAAGGAGGAGTCCTTATTTGCCCTAAATACCAATGGCAAAAAGTCAGGAAGGAAGAAAACAAGATGAAGAGGAAAAAAGCAGATGGGGCCGCAATACATGAGGAGGCACTCGGCTTAAACACAATTAAAAAGCATCCTAACTTTACTTTGTCAGTCCCAGAGGCAAAAGAATGTAGCAACACAGAAAGAGACAATGCACCTTTTCTCACATTTTCTATGCAAAAAGCAAGTTTTCAAGCCACTTTATCATCCCATCTGTCATTCTGATCCCATTCTACACCTTATTTGGCCAGGGGAAACAGAATTCCTCCTACGTTAAAAAGGCGGGGGGTAGCTGGGAGGGGTTAAAGGCCTCAGGCACATTAACATAATAAAAGACATTAACATACTAAAACCAAAGGCGTGTGGGGGGGGGGAGGCCTTAGAGACATAGTACAAGGTCCGAGTAGGCCTTACCCCAAAGTGACTTACACGCAACAGAGGGACATCATCACTATCCTCAAAGGAGTCTCCAGCTGACACGGGATGCCCTTGGTCGCCCAGGAAACGCGTCTGAGAATTCCTCGACGGCTGGAACCTCTCTATGCCGGATAAATTATCGCTCCCCGAGACGTAGGAGGTGGACAGGAAACTACTAGAAATAGTGCGACATCGCGTACAGAAAGTCCTTTTCACTGGGTGGTCCTCCTCTTCGACCGACTCGTCTAGGACCGAGATTCGTGGCGTGACGGCATCGAGGAGCTTGTCGTCTAGGACGCCATCGGCCTCGATCGCGTTGGTGGCCTCGAAGTCGTCCTTTTGGGAGTTGAGCGAGGTGTCGTCGCCGCTCGGTCTCTCCTCCATGTTTACACTGCCCAGGTGACTATAGGCGGAGGAAACCTTGGGGAAAGTTGCTCCTCCCGGATAACAGGATTCGATTCTTCTTTCCTTGGCTTTAATCTCATCCCTTAGAGGTTTTGATTCTACTCCGGAACCTGAACAAGAGGATTTCGAATCTCTTCCCCAGCTGATTGACATGGATATTTCGATTTTGTCTCTCCATACTCATCCTGTATAAAGTCTCATCGATTTCTTATATGCTACCTCTTTTATAGATAAACAAATTATATCTATTGAAGAAACTAAAACCAGATCATCTAGTGATCACAAGAGCATTCGGATACTATTCCGATTTCCCGAATCCTCTCGACGCCACCCGAGCGCCCGTCTTTTGTTTCCCATCCCCTTATACTTCTCCGCTCGCACCAAATCTACCGAAAACACCTCGACCTCCGCCGCCGCGTCGCCCGAACACGTCTCCTCCGCCACCGTCCTGCATCACCTTCCATCACCCGAGCACCACCGCGAGACGAGGAGGCCGAGAGGAGCGAGAAAAGAGGCGCGAAGAGGCGAGGAGGAGTGCGCACGCCCCGCAACCTCCGCCATATTGGATCCCGGCGTTGCACACGGCACTCAAGGTGAGTCGCTCGCGGGGCGTTCGGATTTATCAGGTCACTCGGGGTCAAGGGGTCAATGCCGCGCTGACACGACCTCCGCCTGGGTGCTGGGGCTTGCGGCGGGCGTGTGGGCGGACCCTCGGGGGATGGCCGGCGCCGTCGCGAGGCCCTAAACGTGTTATAGAAGCATCTTTTGCCA